AGTGTCTGGCCTCTTTCACTCAACATAATGTTTTCAAGTTTCGACCACATTGGAGCATGTATCTGTACTTCATTCTTTTGTATTGCTGAAAAGTATTCCATTATACGGATATATCATTTTGTTTATCCACTCACCAGCTGACAGATGTTTGGGTTGTTTCCAACTTTTGGCTAATATGAACACTGCTGCTGAAAAAATTAACACGCAAGTCTTTGTGTAGACAATTGTCTTCATTTCTCATGGGCAGATACCTAGAAGTGGAATCGCTGGGTCATAGGGCAAGTTTCTGTTTAACTTTTTAAGAAACTGCCAAACTGGTTGTACCATCTTACATTCATACCAGCAACATAAGCGAGTTTCTGTCTCTTTACTTCCTGATTAACACGTTATTGTCTTCTTGATTATAGCCATTTGATTAAAGTGGGTGTGAAGTGGTATCTCTTTATGGTTTTAACTCGCATTCTCTTATGAATAATAATGTTGAACAATATTTCACTTGCTTTCTTAGTCATGTGTTTATCTCTTTAGGGATATAGCTATTCAAGTATTTTACCCATTTTAAAATTAAAACTGATGATATTTGATTATATAAAAACAAAAATTTTCTGCATGGAAATAAGTACCATAGCTAAGTCCAAAGACGAAAACAAACTGAGCAACACAAGCACTTCAAGACTTATACATGAAAACTACAAAACATCATTGAAAGAAATTAAAGACCTAAAAAATGGAAAGACATCTCATGTTCATGGACAAGAAGACTTAATATTGTTAAGACGGCACTACTCCCCAAATTGATGTACAGATATAACGTAATTCCTATCAAAATCCCAGATGCCTTTTTTTTTTAAAGAAATTAACAAAATGATCCTAAAATTCATATGGACATGCAAGGGACCTGGAAAAGCCAGAACAATCTTGAGAAAGAACAAAGTAGGACTCACACTTACTGATTTCAAAACTTACTACAAAGCAAAATAAGAACAGAGAAGGATAAATACTGTATGATATCTCTTCTATGTAGACTCTAAAAAAGCCGAACTCACAGAAACAGAGAATGGAATGGTGGTTGCCAGTGGCTGGGGGTGGGTGGTGGGTGGTGGGTGG